CATCTTCCAACTAGCCAAATTCAACTCTGAGCATGCGCAGGAGTATCAATCACGTGATACCGACAGCAACGCTGATTGGTTAGACATGTCACTTACGGTGATTGGCAAAGACTATAATTATATGAAAGATTGGAAAACTCGAGCTTTTGGTGTCCGCGTTAGTTACGGGCCTCTGAGGCAGATGGCGTTGGTATAGCCTCTTTGTTTAACGAATACGTGACCTTCGGTGGCCCCACTTGGCCCCACCCGTGTTCCTGTGCGGGACATCCAAAGAAACATCCTACTTTGATATTTCATCGATTCCCTCGGCATGAGGAACAGTTAAGTGTATATATAATGCATAATTAATTCAATAGCTTTCGTACGAATTTTCCTATCTTTCATAATTGGTGATTGGTGCGTGAGTTATATGGAAGTCACCCATTTGAGGTGAGCTCGGGAAACGAAGCAGCTTTTCATGTTCAGGAGAACTTCTCTACGGAAGGATGAAAGCTAAGGCAGACGGACGTCTTGAAAGGGATAAGTCCTGCGGGTGAATGGCGGTCATGCAGGGTGCGCCTAATGCTCCACCAGTTCAGAAACGTTCTGAACTGCGCACGTTTGTAACTTTTCTCATTTAGTAATGGAGAGCAAAGGGTCGCCTGGAGTGTACCAAGGGACGAGTGGTAGGTAAAATCTTGCTCAACTTTGGTAAACGAAATGTTTTTTCATGATACTTGGTCGAGCTGGAGGCGAAACAAGTTTTGTTTGTCTGAAATGCACAGTGTCCTCGCCGGTACCTTCTGGCCGAGTTGATTTTATTGTTTCATCTTTTTTTTTCTTTTTTTTTTTTAAATAAGTATAGTTTTTCAAATAATAGACAGAAACAAATCCTCAGTCAGTTTATGTTTCTCATCAGGTGAATGACGTAAGTACAGACATGCGATGTAGAATGTTTCAACTTGGTGTTTTAACTAGGATAATGTAATGTGGTAGTGTACACCGGTAATGGGTGAGAAGCCAGGAGAGTTGGACACCTTGGGAACGAGGAAAGTTGAGACAGTGATCACGACGACGACCCGTACCACAAGAAACCTCACATGTTTTGTCTTGCTGTGGCTTTTCTTCTTTCTTCTTCCCTCTTAACCAGATTTTTTTCCTTTGGCAAGACTCGAAAGTTTTTCGTACAATTTCATTACCTAAGTCTTACAGCTTCGCCTCTCTCTCTCTCTCTCTCTCTCTCTCTTGACGTTTCTTTTATTTCTCTGTCTACCCTTCCTCTTCCCTTATCCCCTTCCTTAACTCTCCAGCCTCACCCATTTTCCATTTTTCACCATCTTTACCCATTGCTCCTCTCCTTCCCGTTCCCCTTAATCCCTACTCTTCAATTTTTCCTTAGCTGCTCCTCCTAGGCGTCTTACAGATACCACAATATTTTCAAGGCTGTGTCGCATTTTCTTCATCTGTTATGATGTGTGTGTGTGCAGTAGTAGGGTACAGTGGTAAGGGGACAGTAAGGGTACAGTGGTAGAGGGCAATAAGGGTACAGTGGTAAGGGGACAGTAAGGGTACAGTGGTAGAGGGCAATAAGGGTACAGTGGTAAGGGGACAGTAAGGGTACAGTGGTAGAGGGCAATAGGGGTACAGTGGTAAGGGGACAGTAAGGGTACAGTGGTAGAGGGCAATAAGGGTACAGTGGTAAGGGGACAGTAAGGGTCGCGTATTAAACTCAGGGTGACAATGTTGATGAGAGAATTGTTAAACCTCATTTTTTGCCACGCTCATAATGCTTCACTTACCACATAGCGACTACTGTCATCACTAATGCCTGTGACGACTCAACCATACAGTCTGGAAATTAAAATCATGTCTTTTTTAGGGTTCATTTCACATTGACACGACAGTGAGGCGTCAAAAAAAATAAAGTAGAGAATGAGAGAAAATGTGTTGGCTAGCCTTAAATTCCAGGAGTAACTATGCAATACTTATCATACTTATACAGATGAGGGCTTATCACACAGGGGAGGACTTACCATACAGGTGAGGGCTGATCATTCAGGTGAGGAGTGATTGCATCCTTCCTTCAATTCTTTGGTCTCTCTCTCTCTCTCTCTCTCTCTCTCTTCTACCATTCACATCTGTCTAATACGTGTTATAACCATTTTTTTTATCCTGTTCTCAGTATAACCATACAGCCTAAGCAAACCTGATGGGCACTCTTGTCATCTCAATATATTTCCTCTTTCTTTCTTTCTTTCTGAACCGTAATTTTCTATTTGTTTCTATACTAGATAACAAAAGTGGTGTACTGTACCCGTGTTCAGCTCATCCTCTTCCTCATCGGCACCATGCATCTTCTTGGGAACCTGAGGAGCCTCTTTCACCATCCTTCTTGTGACCTTGTTAGTGACCTCAACCTGTAATAAAGCTGTACTGTACAGTCGCCCACATATATTCGTATACACCACAAAGATTATACTGCGCCCTAATTGGTCTGGTAACACTGATCAAAGAAAACACATCACAAGATGAATGAGAGAGAACGAGAACAACAGGAAGAGCAGGAATAACTCCAATATCTCATGTGTTGTCATCTTGAAGTGAACGAGTGTGGAGAATGCAATGGCCGTCCTGGTCGCTATAGCAAACAGTGTAACTAACGTGAGATATGCAGGTTCTTCATCTGCTCCTCCTCCTCCTCTTTAACGTCTCTGTTTCAGGGTCCACAACGAGGATAATGACAACAAACAATGCATGACTTAACCTCCACATATTATGATGCCTGCGGGTATTGTTTCAATCCTTGGAAGTTCCAAGTTGGAACCATTGTGTTATTTACCAAGAACATGTATATACTGTATGTATCTTCAGTGTTAACCATACTCTCTTCAATCTCAAAGGGGTATATTGGCTAACAAGGGTATATTGAAGACTGAGTATACCCTTATTTCTATCAGACTATTCCGTTAAATTTATTCTCGAAAGAAAACGAACCCCTTCATATAACAGGGATGCCTTAAATAGAGTTACTGTATTTGATGTTGATAAAATCACGCGGGAAAAGGGTAACAACGGAGCACCTTAGCTTTCGTCTTTATTCGAGACATCTACATGAAATTGATGTATAATATGATGTATAAACTAATAAATGCATTTTAGATCATCATAATAGAGTACCAATATATTTCAGCTTCTTCACAGAGGAATATTTGCTTCTTAACAACGGAGCACCTTAGCTTTCGTCTTTATTCGAGACATCTACATGAAATTGATGTATAATATGATGTATAAACTAATAAATGCATTTTAGATCATCATAATAGAGTACCAATATATTTCAGCTTCTTCACAGAGGAATATTTGCTTCTTAAAATGGTATACTGTATTAACCTCAACTTTCAACAGGGTATGTGAAACCTTTCGGTATTATAAACGTTATTAAACACACCAAGAAGATAATATATCATATAGCTTTTTGAGTTATGTGCAGCACGGTCTTGTATATAGCCACTTCCACATTTTAATTCATCAACCAATACAAATTAAGATGCATCTCTATCTGCTGACTCCATGTGTGGATATCAACCAGTAGCTGGTAAATTATTTCGTATATATTTCGTCACTAAGGTTTTCAACTTAAATACAAATTTACATAACATTTCAGTAAAATTTGTTCCGTATAATAACTGAGGAGATTGCAAAAGCGACAATCGGCCGTGGAGTGAATACCTAGTTGGCCCTGGAGTGAGTGCCTAGTTGGCCCTAGATTGGGTGCCTAGTTGACCCTGGGGTGAGTGCCTAGTTGGCCTTGGATTGGGTTCCTAGTTCGCCCTGTAGTGAGTGCCTAGTTGGCCCTGGAGTGAGTGCCTGGCTGGTCCTGGAGTGAGTGCCTAGTTGGCCCTGGAATGAGTGCCTGGCTGGCCCTGGAGTAAGTGCCTAGTTGGCCCTGGATTGGGTGCCTAGTTGGCCCTGGAGAGTGTGCCTAGTTGGCCCTGGAGTGAGTGCCTAGTTGGCCCTGGATTGGGTGCCTAGTTGGCCCTGGAGTGTGTGCCTAGTTGGCCCTGGAGTGAGTGCCTAGTTGGCCCTGGATTGGGTGCCTAGTTGGCCCTGGAGTGAGTGCCTAGTTGACCTTGGAGTGAGTGCCTGGTTGGCCCTGAGGGGGCAGAAATTGAGTATGAATAGTGTGAGGGGTTAGAGGTGTTTAATTATTTGTTCCAGACCATTAAGTAAGGAAAAAGAGAGTGCCTCAGCTCCACCTGGTTCATCCCTTGCAGAGAACCAAGTCATTCTCTGTAATGTACATTGAAATCCCCTAGGTACAGGAGCTCGGTGTTGGGGTGTGTGGATAACAACAACTTATGGCGAGAAGTGAGAAACATACGTGCTAGGACCCCTCATAACAACATACGTGCTGGGAACTTCATAACAACAGACGTGCTGGGACCTTCATAACATATGTGCTGGGACATTTGAGCTAGCAGGGCGGCAGAGCTAGTAGGGTAAGGTCTAATTCTTCCTACTTCTGCAAGGCCATCCAGATGTTTACGTCTGTATGTGTGTCTGGCAAATAGCCAAGTGAGCCAGTCGGGGAAAGAGGCCTGCTAGAGGGTGCGTTTCCTAGTGATGGGTGTGTTATGATAGAATTCGATACTGAAGTGGTCGTCGAGGGTGATAATCATCTCGAGGTTATAATAGTTCTCGAGACTGATGGACTTTTAAAAGATAAGGCTGTCCTTGATGTTTATATCTATCTATCTCACAAATGAAGTAGTAGCTTGTTGTGGGGTGATGTCTCTCGGGGATGAGGTTATTGATTCACATACTGTAGTTTTTGCGCATTCCTTCTCTCCTCTCCCCTCCCTCCCATCCACCCTATACCTTCCCTCCCTGTCCCCTACCTCTCTTTCATTCCGTCTGTTCAAACAAAAAAACCTTGACAACTCGGCTCCATAGTACCTAAGAAACATGGGTTGGCAACTCACCTGGTCAACCTTGAAACCGTTCCTCAACTGAGAAGTAATAGCCGACTAGTGTGTGCTGAACCAGTGTTAGCATCAAGCTTCTGTGTGACTTCTCCAACGTGTTTCAAATAGAGGTGAAATGTTTATATGTGAATTCTTCCTCATCACTTCCCCCTTTGTTGTAATGATGTTATTACTGCGTGTAGATTATTAGTGTCTTTAAGCGCGTAACTTGGTCAGCAATTACACTATTCCATCATCAATTAAAAATGATGAGACATAAAACACTAGAGGTTAAGTACATATTTTGGTTCACTGATTGGCGAATTTTCGAAGCTTTCTCACTGTGAGTCTCTACTGTATGTGTAAGCTGATCTAGCATGATTTTAGTGCTACGCACACATACATGCCCGTTCTGTAACACACACACACAAACACACACTGATAACTGTAACACCCTATACCAGTCACAGTTTCTAATGTGATTTATTTTATCTTTAAATCGTGTTCAATGCTCGGACGATATTATTCAACGACACAGAGAAGAACAATAAGATCATAAGAATGTAGGAAACTGCAGCGGGTCTATTGGCCCATACTGGGCAGTCCCGTTTACACCCAATCCCTACCGCTCATATATCCATCCCACCTATATTTGAAGCTATCCAGCGTGTTCGAGTTAATGATGCTGTTTGGTAGGAGGGAAGGGCGAGTGGAGAGCGATGACGGGAGGGAGTGTGGGGGTATGAGATATTGGTTCACACTCAGGATGGGATGGAGAAAGGAAACTCACAATGTGCTCACTGTATATGTTACCGCCACAGTAAGATAAGCTAGAAGAGAGAGAGAAAGAGAGGGATAACCATAATGAGATATGAGGTAAGAGATATAGTGTTGACAACGAATTTGCTGACCAATCTGCTGAGGTGTTTCAATACGAAAACATATTGCCCTCGCCTCCGGGCTGAGATTGCCCTCGAGGGTAGTCTACTGATTTCTACAGGCCAGACAACACGTTGGTTCAGACCACTAGACCCTAAAACGTGAGTGATCGTGAAGCAATAGAATCTGCTAAGAAACTCTAAATAACTTTAATAAGTATATTTGTGTACTGTAATTTGATCATATTATACCAATTGTCTCCTGTATCAATAGTTATAACATGCGAGTTATATTTAAGATGTTAACAGGCTATGTATTGTATATTGATTGTATTATTCATATGATGTGTCCTGAGATAACAGCATTTGTTATATGAGAAATGTTCTTTAACAGGTTTTGACCGAATTATATGGTACGCGTCAACGTTGAGGGTTTATTTCTCCAGCAACAAACCAATAACGCTCCTATGAGCGTTAACAGTATACATATTGTATTGGGTGTACAATGCAGCTGGTTGCTGGGTAGGTAGCATGGTAATAAGCGTTGAGTCGAGAGAGCTGGGTGGTGAGGGTGCCCAGAGTGAGGGAGCGGCAGCCGCACGGGCTGGCGCGGAGGGAGGAGGTGTTGCTTGCTGGTGGCACTGGGTAGAAAAGAGGCTGGTCACAGCGGTGTCAGGCCTTATAAGGCGGGGGTAGGCGTGGGTAGATAGTTGACCCCCGCCCCGTGGGCGGCGCTGGAGGCGTAGGCTGGGGAATTCGAGAAGGTTCGGTGCTTGTAGGGGAGGAATCCACTACAGGAGAATGGGATGGGAGTGGGGGAGGGGCCACGGGAATCATCCAACCAATGGTGACAATCGTAGCCTAGTAATTTCTCTCTCTCTCTCACCTCCCTCTCCTTCATCTTGGAGTAGAATTTGAAGAAATGAAAGCCACCTTCTACTTCAAGCTCATGTGGGTAGCCACTTGAGCGTTTGTCATAATTTACATGTATTTTGAAATGTGTATACTGTATATGTATTGTACAGTTTGTGTAAATAGATGTGTGGTGATGGTGATGACGATTACAGCGGCAGTGGCGGCAAGGTGGAGATGCTTGTGCTGGTGGTGGTTGTGATGGCAGTGTTCATGGTGGGGATGGTAATATTAGCGTAGTGGTGTGTGGTGTGGTGAAAACTTTCACCAATGCAGTCTACGTTCCATCCTCATAGTTCGCTGGGAAGACAAGAGAACAAATACCAGTATTCTCGTTGACACCAACTGTAGGAGCATCGAGGCTACCATTATCCATAAACAACTACACTGAACTGGCCATGTTACCCGCATGGACGACAATAGACTAACAATGCAGCTACTTTACAGTCACCTAATGAATGGTAAACGTAACGCTGGCGGACAACTGAAAAGGTATAAGGATATTCTTAGCTCGATTGCATACAGAGGCAGACAAGCACCCGCGCCGGAAAGACGCTGCTCACAAGTTCAACTTCTGTTGACGGACCTGCCAGTCCCGTATCGGCCTTTCGAGTCGCCTCAGCGCTCACCAACCAAGGTGACATTGTCATACTCGATTGCAGGTGACAGCAAAGTAGTGTAGTGTAGTTGGGAATAAAACTATGTTAGTTTTACTTGGTGTGTTACTTCTATATTCATATGATTATTTTTGTGATATGTTCAATGGCGTGTTGTTGTTGTGGTGGTTTTGATACAGGCTGGTGGTGATAATTGCTTTATTTTTAACACTTTTATTTACATTTTGCAGGCACAATATGATAGATAGCAGCGGAACGAAGATGATGGTGGTGGTGGCGGTGCTGGCGGTGGTAAAGAGCACAGTGCACTCAGCCACATGCGACAATATCAAGGTCCTGGCTAAGTGTGACAAAGACGAAGGGCCGAAGGAACCGGTGGACGGTCAGGTGGTGTACCTTGGACATGAGAATGGTGATGGCTACTGGGTTTACCCAAGATGTAAGACGTGATGTTCTGCTTATTGATGCACTATAGCCTTACCATAAGGACACATCCACACTGTATATACACAAAAATATCATCACACTTATACTTGTATTAACTGAACTCACATGAAGATGCACAGGCATGAACGTCAACTATGTACACAAATATTTCTGATGCCAATTAACCTTAACAATTATTGAGTTCATTGGTGACACTTGGTCAAAAAAAAGAAGCCTTTAATGCCCTGGGAGATTTACTCCAAAGGGGAATCATTATCAAGTTAAGGATAAGATTGATGAAATGCTATATGTTTTATCAGTATTAATGTATGTATCAGAAACGTTAACACTCGACTGATTCAACGAGATTTCTGAAGACATTTGAGGGTGTGTTACAGAAGAGTGTTGAGAGTAAGTTCTATGGATAAAAAAAAATAAAAAGGTGATAACCTTGCCGTTGGAAAAAGAGAATAACTTTCTACACAGAATTAGGAAGAGTACGTATTTTGGTAACATATAATTAGAGCAGAAGGGGCTTTAGCAGAAGTACTGATGCATATAAGTGAAGGCGAGGAGACTAGAGGAAAGCAAAGTTGGAGAGGATGGACGAGATTAATGGGATGAATGAGTCATTGAGAAACACTAGGGATTGGTCGGAATGGCGGGCCATGGTTCGGCCCTCAGACACGTGTAAGGTATTCCGATTGATTGATTAAGTGGTAAGGTTGATAAGGAGAGCTGTGCCATCGGCCGTTCCGTCCTATAGGCGGCTGCCCCCCGTGGGTAACTGGGAGAATAATGACTGGCTCCTCCATTCCATTGACTATAGGCTGAGTATATATTGCACATGCGCTGACGTCTACCCTCGTAGGATAAACGGAAGCGCATCATTATCATTAGTAGTAGTCGAGGATATTTAATTTTAAGGTAATGAAATGGCGAAGGTGTAGCTATCTGAAGGGGCTGGAGGCCACGTTAAAAAATAAATAAAATAAAAAAACAATAGCAGTGATTACACAGAGGTATACTTCTTATATTTAGTTTTGTAAAAGATACACTGAAAAATGTGAAAAATTAACGCAAGGGAGATGATCCAAAAGACAGGAGAGACAGTTTATGTATCTAGCGTTTATTTTACTAAGTGCTGACCTTACTCTTTCAACAGTTAGCGGTTATGTGTGGAACTGGGAATACCCGACCAAGGACATCACTGATCCTGAAGCCGAGTGGGCCAAGTGGATCTGGCATGACTGCGGCACCGACCTTGTGTGTCTGGAGTCTGTTAAATACCCGAATAACTATCTCTACACCCACAATTTCGTGGGTTACTCTTATTCATCATCTCCGAAAACCGAAGACTGGACAAAACTGAAGATCAGCCAAAAGTCTTATACCTCAAGGGGAATCCACATGTTCCTGAGCGACCAAAGGTGGATTGACGACGGTTACGACCAAGGCATATATGTATATGTTTACATCCCTCCGAGATGTTTTGGCTATAAGATAGCCGACGAACTCTATAACTATCATAATGATAAAGCAGAGTTGAAATACGAGTACTCACGTGGACTGACTCGATCTGATAAGAAAACCATAACTGTCACTTTAGAAAGTAAAATATCAGTAGGAACTGAGGTCACCAATGGCATTATCTCGGCTGCTCTGTCTATTGAAAATTCCCTCACCACCAGTTGGGCGCATGAAACACTAGCCTCAGAGACGACTTTACAGAAGACTACTACAACTGTTAATGTTCAGCCGAACACAAAACTGGTGGTGTGGCAGAAGGTGGCGACCTATGGGCCTTATGAATGGTATTCGTCGAGCGCAAGGTTCTTATGCTCGGAACCCGTTTGAAGTGAATGACAATAGTAATGGCCTGACCGGAACGAGGTAATTACAGACACTACTGTAGATCAAAGAGTTCGGGTATACAAAACTTCATCCAGTGGTTCCCAAACATTATAGATGTAAGCAATGTGGTTTCTGGAAAAGTACTCCATTAGTTTAAAAAATAAATAACTTGAATAATTGCACAAAAAAGAACAAAATATAATGAAATTTAAGACGAGAACTTAACCAGTCATGCGTACAAAAAAATACTTTCACTGAAGAATACAGTAATTAGTAATTTTCCACCAAACACAAAAATGAAAGCTAACACAACACACCCACAATGGAATGTAATAATGCTTCCAAAGATAAGACTCATCCACACGTCCTTTCACAGTAGCGTTCTACGCTATGGCCGGGCACAAACCATTCTAAAATGAAGAGTCCAGGCTTCCGTAAAACAGAGTTGATTAATTATCAATTGATTTGATAGACTGGGCAAACACAGCTGCACCAGACGCAAACACCATAAGTAGTCACTGACAAATTAAAGACAAAAATAAGAAATAGATAATAACAGGTATACAGAAAAAAAAAATATCTCACAGGGGTCTGCTAACTTCCGTGGTTTGTGGTTCAGGGGGAGAGGCGAACGGACTTTAGTAATTGTACAAATGTCCTTTAAACTTGCTCATACTGCAATGAACGGGGAGGATTTGCATTCTTTTGCAACTTAGGTTTGTTTTTAACTTGCTAATTAATCTTGAGCTTTGTTCTTTTTTTTTAGACTAAAACGTTGAAGACATTACAACACGGCCAGTCTGTGCCATGCGAGATTTATTGCAACGTCTATTAAGGTTTCCAGACCAACCACAGCAAGTTAGACTACAAAAACAGTACTCTCCAGGTCACGATTAATTTTCTTAATTGTCACACTGGTAATGACCGAGGACATGAAGTTCCGAGTGTGACGTGGCCCAATTGTGGCGTGGCCCAAGTGTGATGTGGCCCGATAGTGACGTGATCCGAGAGTGACGTGGCTTGAGTGAAACATGGTCCAAGCGTGATGTTGCTCGATTATCATGACCTACAGTAAGTGCCATGTGGCCTAAGTGTGACGTGGTACGAATGAGACGTATCTGGAATGTGACGCGGTCCGATTGTGACGTGGCCCGAGTGTGACGTGGCCCAAATGTGACGTGGTCCAAATATGGCATGATTTGAGTGTAGCATGTAACATAGCTCGAGTATGACATGGCCAAAATGTGACTTGGCCCAAGTGTAGCGTGGCCCGAGTGTGAAGTGGCCCAAGTGTGAGATGGCCAGAATGTGATGTGGCCCGGTGTGTGATGTGGCCAGTGTGACATGGCCGAAGTATGGCGAGGCCCGAGTGTGACGTGACCCGAGTGTGACGTGACCCGAGTGTGACGTGGCCTGAGTGTGACGTTCGAGTGTGACATGGCCCTTCATCCCTTTTTGCTATAGCAATATAATCATTTCAGTCAATTTCGTTGGCCCAGGCACAGTGGGTGGTGTTAATGATACCCAGGACTTCAAATAGCGTGGGGAACAGACTGTCAAGACGTACTGTACATCTCTCTGACGGTCTAAAATTAACAAATAACACAACGATCATTACCTGCTAACAGCAAACAGACTGGAACGATCCTGTAAATATCTTCCGTGGTGGAGGGATGATATATAAAAAATATCGTTTAACTGTAATTAGCGTCCCGAACTTTGTTGTCATGGGTTGCATTAGGCTTACCCCTAATACCCCAGCAACCAACTCCAAAGTTTGTTTTACTAGAGATAAGGCACCCGGCGAGTCATGACTGCGACATATATTTTCCATTAGTGGTATGTTAGCCAGTCTATAGGGGGAGGCCAGTGAGACAGTGTTGTACTGCTCATCGCCTCACGCCCCAAAACCTCATTCTAAGTAGTATCCCCTAGGCCATGGGTTAGTTAAGATGTCGTCCCCATCCTCTCCCTCCTGAAGGGTATGGGATACCACACAGAGTCCTCCACCGCCACCCTGTCCTGTGGACCGTCGTCAACACGAGATTAAGAGTGTTAACCTAGGTTCGTTATCCCCGTGAAAATATCAGGTGTGGATGCCTGGTTGCAACAAGAGCAATCCAGGCTGGCCTATCAAACGTACAGTAAATGGTTAATCAATTCACGCTTACAGAGTTCTCCTGCGCGACACCCGTCTACAGTGACCGTGATCGACACGAGACTAAGTGTGTTAACCTAGGTTTGTTATCCCGTGGAAATATCACGTGTAGAAGCCTGGTTGCAACTAAAGCAATCCAGGCTGGCCTCTTACACCTAAATGGTTAATTCAAGTAACTCTTACCAGTTCTCCTTGCCGCGACAACTGTCTATAGTGACTGTCAGTGATGCGAGACTGTGTGGTAACCCAAGAGTACTTCTTTTTGTTGTTATTCCCCGTGAAAGAAGTGAAACCTGGTTGCAACAAGAGCAATCCAGGCTGGCAGTAAATGTATCACTTGAATAATTAAGGCTCCGTTAAGTCATACCCATAGTAGAGTAATCACATGTGTCCCCAAGTTGAAAATTCCCTCTTTTAGAAGATTAATTTTATTACAGCGTGAACGTGAGTGACTCATATATCCATGCAAATTGTAAATCATTGTATGGAAGCTTGCCAAATAAATGTAAGTGCAATTATCTGCCCGTATCTGTGATCCTATCTTATTATTACTAAAGGTAATGACTGATTGGTTACGAAAAAGTATAACCAATAACTTAGATGGATGTTGGAAATTAATGGAACTCATTAAATCATCATTAGTCAAGTATAAATCATGGAATGTCGGGTGGTGGAGTGAATTTCTAAGTAGATACACCATAATCTCCTGTAAGAAACCAGTGTGAACGTATCAAACTCTACGGTAAGAAATATAAGAAACACCACATATTATAATCTTTATATAATATAATCCACTCTTACACCACTACGATATCAAAACTATGACATTCTTCTTTACTTACTCATTAAAATCTTATATCTATCTATATAGTGGGGGTTTTTTATTCTCTACAACCATTTGACATTTTGCATGTGTACATTGTCACGCACATATTTATATTTAGCGGTTGCTGATTGTATTTAAAAAAATTGTAAGCTTTTTCATTTTTTAGATGTTAACTTCATGCAGCCTACTCACTTATTGCTGAAAGCAACACTAGATATCATCTTTTTATTGAAGCCTAAAAGTTAAAAAATCTTCAAGTCCTAACACTCGACAGCTGATCTGTCATAACCAGATGGTCCTATTCCTACTGTTCAGTTTCAAAAGTTAAACGTCGCTGGGTGCCTTGTCACCAGGTTCTGACAAGGATGCTGCAGCAGAAGCTACAAAGTTGTCAAACAAGCTACAGTTTTTCAGGTTTGTTGTTGATCTTCAATTTGCAAATCAAGTTCTTCGTACTTCCAATAGTCTAGCAGATAAATTTCAGTCACAAATATTCTAATTTCTTAAGCATGTTCTCTCACTGAGTCAACCAGGAATGTACAGTATTACTGAGCATGAAAAATGATAACGTTTTCTTAAGTGTGTTTGATAACTCTGCTAAGTCATTTAACATTTAAGCTGAGGTATAAGGTTAATGATGACAAGCCACAATCATTGCTGCAACTTGCTTTATTAAGTATTTTCCATAAATCGTAATACAGATTCTAGTTCCAAATCATAAAATGAACGAAACGTGGACAGATCAAAGGTAAACCTCATAAATTAGCTCTGGGTTTATAATGTATGAAAAATAAACAAAGAAATTGGTAAAAGAACCCGTGTTCAGAGTTATCATGTGTTATTAAGGAAATGTTATCATCTTGTCTAAGGATGATCACAAAACAGTTTTATTCCTGAAGGTGCAATGAAACAAACAAACAAACTAGCTAGAATGCAACTTTTTTATAGTTAAGATTATATTGTAATTTTCTTTAACTGGTTTGTGATCAGTATTTTAGAAAGCTTCAAACAATAACTTTCAGTCTTCACTCATCATTTTCTAAGAACACTATTACATCAGCAGCGGTAACATCGGTCGTAAGAATGCCGTGGTATACTTTAAAATTCCTACCGGTTCTTCGCGCTGAGCCAAACTGGCTATAGCATGTTGTGAATTACTACGTCTGTGTTTTATAAATGGGGCTAATCCCCGCTAACAAATTATGTACGAATGGTGAAGAATTAGAATCAGTTTCTATAGATGTTGTTTATGATAGGGAGAGGGAGAAGGAGATTTTAGGCAGTACCCATAGTCCTCAGCTTGCGAAGTAAGTGGGACTGTGAGCGGGTCCTTCTTGGAGCAGTGTCGTGGGTCCTTCTTGGAGCAGTGTCGCTGGAGATGGGTGACTCTGACACGCCTGCAACAAAAAACACAAGAGAATTTGTCAGTAAAATGTAGCTGGTCTCACCCATAAATAGATCCCCAAAGGCAACACGGTTAGTTCTGAAATGATGGGTCCTAATGGTAACCATATTTATTTTCGATCTATGATTCAGTTAGTACATATAACTCTTCGCATGAGCTCTACAAACAAGACCTAGAGAAGAATTTATCGATTTAACTGACAGGCTAGCAGAATTAGGTACGTTGGAGTAATCTAAAGCTTTTCATTACTAAGTTTTTTCTTTATATTCTGATTTTGCAATTAATATTAACAATTAAGTGTTGATCAAGAATGATATCTGAAGCCGGTGAAATAGAAATTAGCACATGAAGACACATTCATAACGTATATGGCTTAATGTGAAAAACGATCAGCGACGCCCAACTTTATCACCACACGAGCTTCTTTTTATTTGGCCCAGTTGCAAGTTTGGAGTGAACAGAGATGTGTGGATCAAGTGTTTACGCTACAGAGCACAAGAGCAAAGTTCTGGAGAAGCGTAAAAGTTGGGCATAATATTCTTGGATCTAGAACAAATAATAAAACAACTAGAAAAGGAATATGGGAAGTATGTAGATACATAGGATCTTTGAGTAATAACTATATGTTGCTCAGTTTTTATAAGGAGAGTGAAGCAAGGTTCGAACTATGTCAAGACTTTCTATTGTAGTCAAGAATGTTTACCGACAATGGGATGAAAAGGAGTTTGGAAGTGTGCTTGCCAGGAGAGATAAAGCAGTTAATGTGAAAAAGACAAACTGATGAAAATTATCAATGTCAATTAGACATAATGGAAGCAGAGTGGAGGTATGGGGAAGAGGATGTGTTATTATATGGAACAGTGAGTCAACTTAACCACAAAGTAGTAATGGGTGGCTTAAGAAATGTTTGGAGAGAAAAAACTGCATCGCAACAGTAATAATGTGGTCCTGCTGGAGTCGTTCAGTTTATATTTTAATGCATGAAATGTGTATAAGGGTGCAGCGGCCGGGTGGATTTAGTGTTGGTCTCCTGTTATGGGGGTCCTTGGTTAAATCATGGCACTCAACCAGTTCATTTAGCTGTAAGATAGTACCTAATTTTACAGAGGGAGGAATAAAAGTGGTCAAGTGTGTGTGTGGGTGTGTTTTCTTTTAAAGCACGATACTGTATATCCAAGACCACAATATTCACAACTTGTAAAACACAAAATTTAGCGGAATGGTTTTAGATTATAGAAAATGGATGACGTATTTTTTTTCTCATTCAACGAATAAACGTTTTCCAAGAACCATTAACAGATACTGACCACAGTTCTCCTCGTCACTACCTCCAAAGCAGTCATAGTAGCCGTCGCAGCGATACTGTTCTGGGATACAGTCACCGTCGGTACAGATGAAGTCAGTCGGGTCGCAGGCTGTAGGACGGAAAGATGCAGTATATTTTATGGGCTTTCACTAAACATTTTCTTAAGCTCGTAGTTCTCTAAAAAGGTCCTCATTTGATTTTATGAATACAGACGAAAGAGGGAAAGGACAGGTGTATGAATTTATCAAAAGATGACTTGACACAAACACTAATAAGGATCAGTATTGCATTTTTTTTCTTACATAAAGATGAAAACGCCACACACTGATTAATTGGAAAGTAAAGTAAACGTGGTTGAAATCTTGTTGAAAATTTTTCTAGAGGTACAACTCTATTGAAGTTTTAAGACTTTAGAGGTTAAGATATTTTTTAAAGGGCGTTGTTAAGAAGAAAACAAGATTGATTTCATTGAAAGTATTTGTGAAGAAGGAACTGGAATTTAAAGATTTTATAAAGGGTGCATGAAACACTGACTTTGTTGACGACTTGCCAGGGGAGGGAATGAGTTTATGTTGAAAGGTAGACAACATAAATTTGGTGATAATGTTGTTTCAAATGAAAGAGGTACACGGTTTAAGTAATTGTTTTTACTATTACTGACTACGTGTTGCCTATCAGCCCCATGACCAATTTTTATCTACCAGCCCCCTGACTAATTGTTATCTACTAGCCCCCTGACTAATTGTTATCAACCATCCCCCTGATCAGCTGTATCAACAAGTCCCAGACTAACTGTATCTACCAGCCCCCAGACTAACTGTATCTACCAGCCCTCAGACTAACTGTATCTACCAGCCCCTTAACTAAGCATTATCTATCACCCCCCTTACTAATTGTTATCTACCAGCCCCCTGATTAACTGTACCTACAGGCCCCAGACTAACTGTATCTACCAGCCCCTTAACTAAGCATTATCTATCACCCCCCTTACTAATTGTTATCTACCAGCCCCCTGATTAACTATACCTACATGCCCCAACTAACTGTATCTACCAGCCCCTTAACTAAGTGTTATCTACCAGCCCCCAGATTAACTGTTATTTACCAGCCCTGACAGTTATCTATCAGCCCTTGACAACTTACGACAGAACTTCTCGTCCTCTCCCCGAATACAGTTCTCGTAGTCGTCACAGAGATAAATGTCGGGTATACAGAGGTCGTTCTGGCAGTGATAACCTTCCTTACATTCCTCTGTAAGTGAAGGACATGGGTTAAGGTTACAGGAATGATAAGAGTCTTAAAATAATGATACTGATATGAGTTACAGCTGAAGGCGATGACGATGAGTTAAGATTACGGTTTGAAATGGGTTACAGGTCCAGTTAAGTCATGAGATACAGATACAGTTAAGTCGTGAGTTACAGAGACAGTTAAAGTAGAAGACATAACGTTTTAGTGTGAGTTACAGCTTCAGTGTGTGTTAACAAATGCCCTCAAAGCTGCACCAAAGCAGAGGTCTTTTTTTTCTGACAATAAAAGTGCCAAGGCACCTTTTAAGTGTTTATTTAAAAAAAGTCTATTACTGCAGTGTGTTTATGAGTCTAACTTATGAATTAACATTTAAAATGTCAATGACTGTTTATTACGAGAAAAGGAAAATAACCAATTAATTGTTTATGAGTACGATGATATAATTATATACTGTATATATATATATATATATATATATATATATATATATATATATATATATATATATATATATATATATATATATATATATATATATATATATATATATATATATATATATATATATATACTTCCTACTCCTCTCCCACTTGACACACAAGGGGAGGACGGACGAGGAGGATACTTAACACTTTAACACAACTGAACCAGCACTTAGCACACTTGTACACATACACCCTTCAAGAGTAACACTTACGACACTCCTGTTCGTCGTCCGCCATGTAGCAGTCTACGATGCCATCACATACAAACTGCTCGTCAATACAGAGGCCGTCGAAGCACTGGTACTGCTCCGGTTCACACACAGGTGCGGTGGTGTAAGCTGTCACGATAATCTAAGTCACTCACATTATATTTAATATGACACACATTGTCTCGGGATTAAATTAAGTTTAATATATTAAAACATTACACCAAGGGAGTTTTATCTTGACCAAATCAAGTTTATCATATGACACATTTTAGTGTAAAGGGAAGAGGTGAGAGTAGGAGTGAAGGAAGGAGAGAAAGGAAGGTATGAACGTGACAGCTGATTCAAGTGAAGGGAAAAGGACAAAGTGACAGTGAAAATAAGACACGAAGACGTAATGTATATACAGTTCATCATAAATCACAATTCAATAGTAATGTACAATAAATCAGGAGCCAATCCACAAAGTTCATACCATAAGTATTCCTCGCAACTTAATGTGAAATAGTAGTATCCACCTGCTCAACTTCGACCAAAATTCTGACATAAAGACTACAATGTAACCATAATTACACTGATACTTCATCTTAAGTATATATGCTCACTAAATAGAAGAAAAAAAATGATTAATAAGGTTCCGAAGATACACTGTTAACATTATGCTTTGAGGAACATTGACGGCTGGCTGGTGGGGAGTAAACTGTTGTGGTAGTGTGATGAAGAGAACAATGTTACTGTACAGTGATGATGGGAACTTATCTGAAAACAACATTTGGTCAGTGTATCAAACCTTGTATTTATTCTCACGCCCTTTGTATCAAATACCTGAATGTGGGAGAAGAGATTAAGATCTGAACTTACTGCAGTTAGCTTCGTCGTCAGAGTTAGGGCAGTCTCCTAAGCCATCACATACGTAGTGCTCCACGATACAGAATTCGCTCGACGGGCACTTGAAAAACCCGTCACGGCAGTACTCTGTAAGGTTCAACTGGTTTTAGGAAACTAGACAACCTGAGATAGAGCTCATCTTGTGTTAAAGGACCTAGAAACCTCAAAGAAAAGGGTTTACCGGGTGTCTAAGTTCGTGTAAACCTTTGAGGAAGTATTCAACTGTTGCTTAAGAATGTATAATTAAATAAGAGGGTTCGACTGGTGTTTCAGGATATGGAAGTTTCAAAGCTGGTTAGGTCCGGCAAACACTACACGTGGGCACAACAGATGTAAGTGAGGGACAACAAATGTAAGTGAGGCACTACAGATGTAAGTGAGGCACTACAGATGGAAGTGAGGGACAACAGATGTAAGTGAGGCACTACAGATGTAAGTGAGGCACTACAGATGGAAGTGAGGGACAACAGATGTAAGTGAAGCACTACAGATGTAAGTGAGGCACTACAGATTTACGTAAGTGAGGCACTACAGATGGAAGTGAGGCACTACAGATGTAAGTAAGGCACTACAGATGGAAGTGAGGCACAACAGATGTAAGTAAGGCACTACAGATGGAAGTGAGGCACAACAGATGTAAGTGAGGCACTACAGATGGAAGTGAGGCACAACAGATGGAAGTGAGGCACAACAGATGGAAGTGAGGCACTACTGGAAGTGAGGGACTGAGGCACAACAGATGGAAGTGAGGCACTACAGATGGAAGTGAGGCACAACAGATGTAAGTGAGGCACTACAGAAGTAAGTGAGGCACAACAGAAGTGAGGCATAACAGAAGTAAATGAGGCACAACAGATGTAAGTGAGGCACAACAGAAGTAAGTGAGGCACAACAGAAGAAGTGAGTGAGGCACTACAGATGTAAGGAGGCACAACAGATGTAAGTGAGGGAAGTAAGTGAGGCAACAGAAGTGTAAGTAAGGCACAACAGATGGGTGAGGCACTACAGATGGAAGTGAGGCACAACAGATGTAAGTAAGGCACACAGATGGAAGTGAGGCACAACAGATGTAAGTGAGGACAGAAGAAGTGAGGCACAGTGAGGTAACACAACAGACAGATGTGAGGACAACAGATGTAAGTGAGGCACAACAGATGTAAGTGAGGCACAACAGATGTAAGTGAGGGACAACAGATGTAAGAGGCACAACAGAAGTAAGTGAGGCACAACAGGAGATGTAAGTGAGGCACAACAGATGGAAGTGAGGCACAACAGTAAGTAAGTGAGGCATAACAGATGGAAGTGAGGCACAGAGTGAGGCACCAGGCACAACAGATGGAAGTGAGGCACAACAGATGTAAGTGAGGCACTACAGATGTAAGTGAGGCACTACAGATGGAAGTGAGGCACTACAGATGTAAGTGAGGCACTACAGATGTAAGCGAGGCACAACAGAAGTAAGTGAGGCACAACAGATGTAAGTGAGGGACAACAGATGTAAGTGAGGCACAACAGAAGTAAGTGAGGGACAACAGATGTAAGCGAGGCACAACAGAAGTAAGTGAGGCACTACAGATGTAAGTGAGGCACTACAGATGTAAGCGAGGCACAACAGAAGTAAGTGAGGCACTACAGATGTAAGTGAGGCACTACAGATGTAAGCGAGGCACAACAGAAGTAAGTGAGGCACAACAGATGGAAGTGAGGCACAACAGATGTAAGTGAGGCACAACAGATGTAAGTGAGGGACAACAGATGTAAGTGAGGCACTACAGATGTGAGGCACTACAGATTTACGTAAGTGAGGCAAACCAGGAGAGAAGACGAGGGGTAATGCCTGCTACTGAAAGCCCTATCAAGATTCATTTGAAGAGACAATTGAAACAAGAATAAACCAAAAGAAAACTGAAAATCTACTACTATTACTACTACTACTTTTTTTCAAGTTGTGTCAGACGTGGCCTCCCTTAATAGCCACTGCATTCAAGCCTGAACGGTCTGCCCCTTCCTGTATCTTCAGTGCATTTTTCCACACCATCCCTCACGTTATTTTCTCGAACATGACAGCGTTTGGAGGGACATAGATACCTGGAACATGATACTTTCCTCCGCACTTGCAGGGGGATGTTTTTCCTTCAGCTGCTATCTTGGCAGCACACCACCGGATGATTACTCTGTGCGAGATCTTACCGCCGAGGACACTTTTCCCACACGCATCTTGCTACCAAACTTTATGACAGGGTCCTCAGTGACATGCTTTCTGTCTTCTGTAAAATTCACTCTCTCCTGCAGTGTTCTTGCTTCACTTAGAAGATCATCAAAAGCCCCGTTCTTCCAGAATGTCAGTCTTCATTGCTGCCACATTTTCCTTGCACTTACTCCTTGCGTGTGTTCTCTGGCAAAATATAGATTATTGACAGTATATGGAGAGCTATTGGGGCCAAGGAGCTGTCGTGAGTGTAATTGTGTGTAAAGGGAGTCATCTCCCTGATAATTTCTTTGGTGGCCTCACATTTAGGTGGTTCAAAGAGGTTAGCTGGGGACCACCGGACAACTTCTGAGAAGGTTTCTTTGACCCTCGTCTCTGCCTCTTCCCCCGACATGCCTTTCCAACGTGTTGACTGTGTGTCATTCACCTCATGTACAATATTTTCTGAATGGGTGGATTCATTATTACTACTACTATTATTACGACTACTACTAATACTACTACTATTACCACCACTAGTACTACTACCACTACTACTACTACTACTAGTACTACTACTACTAATAATAATAATAATAACACGTACTGCAGTGTGCTGTAAAATACAGGAGTATTAGATATCCTTTGCATTTGACCAACCAAAAGTAAACATAAAAAAATAATAATTGAAGTGATGAAACAGTGACTTAACTTACCACAATCAACCTGACGTAGCTTAATACAGTTAACCTAAATGTAAATAGTAGTGACGTTACTTACCACAGTCGACCTCATCGTCACCACTGACACAGTCAGGTTCACCGTCACACACATAACGGGTGGGGAGACACAGCTCTTCATCCTCACACTGGTACGCCGAGCACGGGAACTGGGCCTTGGCTGTACCCCGGCGAGATAAATATAGTGGTTAGTTGGTATTTGAGACACCAGGAAGCGACAAGCACTACCCAGCTCTTGGTGTCATGATGCATTTATTACTGGGTCTCAACAGCCAAAGTCTCTAAGCGTGTTGGATATAGAAAGGATATTGGAAGTTAGCCTGGGTATATATTCACGTCTGGGTATATATACTGTCATCGTTAACAGGGGTATATTGATGGCTGAGTATACCCTTATATTAAATTTATTCTCGAAAGAAAACGAACCCTTCACATACCACGGATGCCTTAAATAGATTTACTGTATTTGATGCATAATAATAAATTGTGTTGTATAATAATAAATTAATATTGTGAGTCCCTGTATTTCTTCATAGAGGAATATTTGCTTCTTAAAATGGTATACTGTATTAACCTCAACTTTCAACAGGGTATGTGAAACCTTTCGGTATTATAAACGTTATTAAACACACCAAGAAGATAATATATCATATAGCTTTTTGAGTTATGTGCAGCACGGTCTTGTATATAGCCACTTCCACATTTTAATTCATCAACCAATACAAATTAAGATGCATCTCTATCTGCTGACTCCATGTGTGGATATCAACCAGTAGCTGGTAAATTATTTCGTATATATTTCGTCACTAAGGTTTTCAACTTAAATACAAATTTACATAACATTTCAGTAACATTTGTTCCGTATAATAACTGAAGAGATTGCAAAAGCGACAATTGGCCCTGGAGAGGGTGCCTAGTTGGCCCTGGAGTGGATGCCGAGGTGGCCCAGGAGTGGATGCCTGAATGGCCTTGGAGTGGGTGCCTGGTTGGCCCTGGAGTGAGTGCCTGGTTGGCCCTGGAGTGGGTGCCTGTACTGCAGTAGGTATACACTATACACCTACATGTATGTTCGTTCTGATCTCAGTATGCATAGACCATTAGATTCATACTGGTGTGCGAAATATCAAACAAGTGTACGCTTATATTAACTAATAAACTGATTACCAAGAAGCTTAATACAGAGGTACTGCAGGTAAAGAAGCACAACAAACGAAGATAATATAAGTTGCTCACCAACAGCGGCCAGCAGCAGCACGAGACTCAACACCTTGTAGTTCATCTTGTCAAATGATTGAGACGTCTAGCTCTCCGAGTTTCTTTTATACAGGGGAGGCAGAGGGCGTCACCTGTCACCTGTCACTTGTCACCATGGCTGTTAACACAATATGCGACCCTCAAGACTTTTGGTGGTGCATATGTCCCTCTTATTCCCACTTCTTATCGTCTAGTCTGGTGTAATAGTTGCTTGAAAATATATATATATATATATATATATATATATATATATATATATATATATATATATATATATATATATATATATATATATATATATATATATATACATATATATATATATATATATATATATATATATATATATATATATATATATATATATATATATCTTGATAAAATCTTATCCACGTTTTCATGATATATATATATATATATATATATATATATATATATATATATATATATATATATATATATATATATTTTCACTCTATCCAAGGAATGATAATCGCCGAATGACTAACCGTTAAAATGCTTCATCTGTTAATGTTTTACTCCTAAATGGTGATATGAGAAATACATGTAACTAACTGCCTTTGGCGCCACGACACAAAGACGAGACACAACCAACACCAAGACTATTCTCCTTTCTAGTTAAACAAAAACTTGAGAATGAATCTTTAACAGCCGACAACATTATTCTTTTGATTCTGTTATTTTTTATTCTGGACTTTAGACTTGGTTTTCGAATTAATAAAAAACAGTGAGTTAAGAGTCTTTGATAATCCTTGATCATAATCTTATCTTTGGTTTGGATTTAAGTCAATTTGTAGGTGTTAGTGAGATAAGTTGGTGGCAGATGTTTCCTCTCACGGGAACTACTGTATGTGGTCTGCGGGTACTCCTCAACCACCACCACCACCACCACCGATTCACCACCACCAACACCACCTCATCACATCACCCTCATCACCACCAACACCTCACCACCACCACCGATACCTCTCCTCTACCATCTTACCACCACCATATTGCCACCACCTCCATCATCACATCTCAACCACCACTTCTCCACAACCACCATCTCCATCTCTCCACCACCAACACCATTACCAACACTCCACCGTTACCATTTCTCCACTACCACCTCTCCACTATCACCCCAACACCACCAGCATCACTAAATCTGCACCACCACTACTTCACCACCACTGAACCTATACTAATACTGCTTCTTGTTCAAAACTAATTACATATCTTTGCATCTACTGGTACTTTGTACGTTTCTTAAATAAACAATAAAGTGAACATCTCGATATGTTTCACCATCACCGCTCATTTATACGTTTATATACCGGTATACACTTGTAAACTACAATGATATTATATTGCGTTCAGGAAGCAATCAACATGGTGTGCGCAAAACCTAGAATACGGTTCATTATTTATATGATCTTTGACTGAAGAGTACACTTGGCTATCAGCACATGAACATATTTTACTTAGGGGATAAGGATGGAAGAACCTTGAGGTGACCTGGTAACTGTATTTATAAATATTACTTGATAATACGGCAGCTGTGGACTCCCAACCACTCTCACTGCACTGATGACAGAGATAAGGCGGTTATTGTAAGGCGTTTTCGATGCACGGAAAAGCTAACGCGTTAGCTATTCTGTATGCACAGGAGCTGCTTTTGATTTGTGTGCATGACATTTTAGCTAACACCTCGATCAGGTGTTTGCCATTTACAGGGCCCAAGCGGCACAAATAGCTAACAACCAATCAGCGATTTCTCCCGGTGAAAATACGCGGATCATGGCCGCTTAAAGAGAATATTTTGATTAATATTGAAGAGTTGGAGGCATGGAAGGCAATAGAAAACTGTGATATGATCATAAAAATAATTATATATACGGTAGAATAATGGATAAGTCCTAAAACAAAGCGTAACGCATACAAGAAATGAAAAGGATTGCGCCGAGTTGAAACCTTGTTTTGGCTCCACCCTTTTTACGTGGGTGGTCCGATTTCATTAGCCGTTGGTGACTTTGGTGTGACAAAATTGATAATTACTCAAATATGATTAAGACTTTAATATCATTACTTATAAGATACTTTAACCCTTTCAGAGCGTGTCACGCACTTGCCATTTTATTCTGGCTACCGCCAGGCGATTTTATTCAGCTTAGGGTAACCTCCCGCTGGGAAAGGGTTAAATAAGGGTGAACAGGTTCATTACAGTTCTGTAAGTGCAAAAATTAAGACTTACACGAACCTGAAATTCGTCGTATTACGTGCACAAATATGTGAACACAGCCGCCAGAGAATAACAGTAAAGCAGAGCGACTCTGGTTGTTTCTTGCGCTTTCCAAGTCCTTTACAAAGGGCCCGATTTTTTGTGTTATTCTTATTTATTGTTAGCAGATTAACTTTTTTTCCTTTTTGTCTTTTTTTTCATAATTTTCTATATATTTTCTTCACTATTTCTTTCCGTATTGTGTCCAAATAACAGTTCTCCTAATTTTATTGTTTTCTGAAGACTGTTGTACAACAGTTATTCCCAAGACACGGCACAATGTTGTATATTTTAATGACAGTCCGGGAAAGCTAACGCGTTAGCTATTCCGTGCATCTTAAAACTCCTTACAGTAAAACGCCTATAGTGTCGCCCTAGAACTGCACTCACATTTTCTGTGACTATTACGAGTTTCCCCTTAATACAGAGTAAGAAAACCTATATAATTGAATCAATGTGAAATTTGAACTCCATTTTGATTGCTTTTTGGGGTCTTAGCATCATTGATCCAATGAGATATGTTTAGCAATTAACAGTTACGAGAAAAACTGATTGTAAGAATCCCAATGAGTCCATACCGTACGCAAACTGATGACATCCGTGTCAAGTTTCTTTGGATCCCGTCACATATAGGAATAACTGCCTGTGACACTGTGGATCGGCTTGCCAAAGAAGCTACACAAGAAGAAGATACTGAAGCCACTCTCGCCCTCTCCCTGAATCAGCTCAAATCTCGCATACACGCCACACAACGAGAGGCATTCAACGAAAATTGGACACACCTGAAACAACGGGGTAGCGTCACACTATGCCACTATGACGCTGTAACCGGTGACGACAACCGCTACTACAAAGAATATCAATCCCTGACTCGATCTCAACAGCTTATATACATGAGACTGCGCCTAGGGTACAGGTACCTATGGGAGTACATTGGCAACCCTGAGCCTCACCGCACTGTTTGTAAACTTTGTGGCCAACCCGACTCTCACACCCTCTCTCACTACATCCTCACTTGCCCTAAGACCTCCTCCTACAGGTCCCCAGCCGTTACCAACGCCTCTTCCCTCCCAGACCAGATATCCCTCCTCCTAGTCACAGGCCTGGCATTTGACATTATTAGGGACCTGCCACTCTTTGCCATAAACAGATAAAATGTACCGGGAACTTTCTCCCCACACACTCATCATTCTCTCACTTTATGTAACTTGACAGAACCTATGACCCTTCAGGCTTTTACGCCCTTAATGTACGAGTCATAAAGGCAAGTATGAACTTTTCATACTTCCCTGTTGGGCGCTGTAAACGCTTCTGCGCTTCACCTTGCACAGGATGTAAGGGGGTGCCCAATAAACTAGCCCCCTCGGGGGCAAATCTGAAATCTGAATCATACCGTACGCTACAGCCTCTACAGGGGTTCGAGGTACAGTCTGGGTCCAAATTCTCAAAGGTTCGTCGATAAACAAAAAAAAACAAAAAACAGTATATTCAGTCAAGAAAAATTCGTCGCAGGAACCTTTTTGAATCCCCAACTCAGGATGAGTCTTATTTAATATGTAACTTTGAAACCCGTGTTACCAAAGCCGGCGTGCAACAACACATAATATTATTGGGAAGCAGTAAAACTTCAAGGTTGGACAGCACAAGTTGAGTTACTAACATATCAACGTGCATTATGTAATTCACAAAAAAATGCTTTGATATTTTAGGTTGTGCTATTCTACTAACCTTTATTGCAATCAGGTATTTTATACAAAAAATGTTGGTGTAATATGTAGAATAGTAATAAAATGTGGTATGTGAAGGTATGATTTTTTTTATTTTTTTAAAGATATTTAACGTAAGACTGACACAAGGTGTCGCAATCGGAAAAGTCCATAAAGAATTCTGTACGTACTGAATAGTACTGTAGTTCTCGATCTCCAACTGCGGGTACGTTTTTTGATAAGCCGTGTAATAAACTAAAGGGTTGGCGAGTCACACCTGTACACCCCCAACAACAAAAATCACCTTCCTTAATTTGTAATGCTTGGTATATCTATCTATCTATCTAAGTTAATGACGTTATTTGATAACTTGTTCCACTCATCCGCAACTCCATTTCAGGACCAATGTTTACCTATTTCCTTTCAAAATCTAAATTTCTCTAATTAACAACCAGTTACGGTATCTAGTGATATAATGGGTTTAGTACCTTATTTGTATCACCTTATTTAACCCTATCTTCTATTAATATCACATCGCCACCTCATTCTTTGCCTCACAGGAGTGAAAATTTTGTTTTCTTTATCTATCTCTATACAGCAAGTTCCTAACGTCCAGTAATAACTTAATCATGTATAACAATGTATGTAATATGCTTTTGATCACTTGTGTCTTGTTTAGCAGCTCGAATATAAGAATAACTTCCCAACAATAAAACAACAAAGTTCATGGACTTCACCCAACACGAGACGATTTATGTGAATAAGTAAGACGAAGCATACCTTAACGTGGAATTGCTCAGATTACATCTTTTTAGATCAGGTGTGCCTTCGTTAACTGGGAATTTATGGTACACCAATCAACACGTGAAATACTGTGCCTCAAATAAAACTCTCTTGTATAATTTTATTAAAAAACACGTTAGTGGGTGTGAAGGAGCAGGTGGCTGACTACAAGTGTTGTTATCATCCAAGTCGCATGTTGTAAGGGTGCCCACCACCCACACACCCTATATATTTTACGGTGGTGCGACTTAATTTACATTGTGATTCCAGGTGTTTTGTTACCTAGCTCAGCTATAATTACTCGGAATATTTTCACTTGAATATAATGTCTGTGGTTGTTAACTTAAACTAAGATATAATTATTATGTCCTTCACTTCAGTGATCTAAATAATATGTCCTGAATATAATACAATATAAATGTCCTGTACTACAACAACTACGAGAGGCATACACACAAACATATAGGCATAGAAGAAAATTTTTATTTACATACAATTTCAACACAAGAGCACAAGTGGACATGCAGTGAATAAACGTTTAAGACTGTTAGTTGTCAATAGGTTAGCATTACAGATAGTACTTATTGTTTCAGGATACAAACTGAATTCTCTATAACTAGTCTATATGAACCAACTAAGAAAACAAAGCACAGTGTAAGGTCGAGTCTAATGGATTGCATATTTAGGCTAAATCGTTACTCCGTCACCTTTACTTATCTTCAGTGACTGGGGGAATGTGAAGGTGCTGCCGCATGCCATCTGAATTTTTAAGAACACAACTCTGTACAGCACAAGGAAGCTATCAGAGTACGTGAAATATTATTGATATAGTAGCCAGCAGACTCAGAGGCTCGCCAATGAGGGAGGTGATATTGTACTTTATTGACATTACAACTCGAAATGAGAGTGTAAAGTAATCCATCAAAAAAAACAGTTTAGAGACCCTGCTTAAGAATCACGTGTTTTTTTAACAGACATGCAATTCAAAACATCCGATATATGTTTTAGCATATACTGTACAATACTACGGTCCCCATCACTGCGGACCCACCACTGATAATATCTCCACACTCCAATTTTTAACTCAGCAAAGCATGTACTAAACTGCCAGCCCAAGAAAAACTACAACACTTCTCTGTTTCTCTGAAGTATCTCAGTATATAAGAGCATTAATTACAATTAACATTTGTACTGAAAATTGCATTTTTTCTAGTTATCACTGACTTAAAAGTAGACTTTTGGAGTCATTAAATCACAAACTAAAACTAAATTATTAATGGCTGAGTTAAACTCATACTCCACAATAAAGTTTTTCTTAATCCCTTGTGTATGGTGTCCTCTCTATGTTGAATAAAGTTGTCTGGCGTTAGCATAATAAATATTAAAAGTGACGTCCCCTCAGTGAAAGGGTTAAATAGTAAGCCTCACAATCACGAGGGGGATTATTCCAAATATTTAGTGTAACTGAGACTGTCATCATCAGCTGTTCATTAGATTTTTTTCTTTCTTTTTTGAGACAAAAAATAGAGGGAAAACTATAAACTAATATTTTTAGTGATCTTCCTCCTGGCCAAGTGCTCAAGCTTGGTTAGGGTAGGAGAGAAAGGTGTGGAATGAAAGCTGTACTGTACGAGTTGATATTCCCTACATCACAATATTTGCAGACAAAATATTTTAACCTAAAATGTTTCGGGTCAACACCTATTGTGCTCATCCTGCTGAGCATATTAGAACACCTGAACCTTACACAAGCAGAAGTAACCCACCTCTTGTTGGTGAAGCGTCACAAAGCGACCCCTGGCTGCCACTGTAACACAAGAGAGATACAGTGTGCGTATATATATATATATATATATATATATATATATATATATATATATATATATATATATATATATATATATATATATATATATATATATATATATATATATATATATATATATATATATACAGTAGTACCCGATTTACGCGGTCAATTGAACCCACAGGGTACCGCGGAAAGTGAAAACCACTTTAAGTGAACAACAGAACATATGGGATTAATTCCAATAGAGACTGGCCCGACCCCCAAACTCCACTTTTTCCGACACAATACCTATGTTGTAGTAAAAATAACATCTAAATTTTATGATGGTATGCTCACACAATTAATATTTAAGAGAAATACAGTCGTCAGGTTAATGTCCATTCAAATAATGGACTCAAATCCCCCCCCTCTTCCCAGCTCACTAGCTCCTACCTCTCTGAGAAATGTTTGGGTGAAACCACTAGATTTTAACGTTTAGTAATAAATAATACCTCAGACTAAAGTTAGGATAATATAATTGACATTTCTGGATTCCTTGCAGGTCAGGGAATATTTTGAATGTAAACTTCATATATTTTGCACAAAAGATAAAATATTTGCTTTGTGTAAACCAAATTATTACATTAGATCTAAAATTTGTATGTCTAATACAAAATCCATGATGTTTATATTCAAAATGATCATCATATTGTAAGAATTCCAGCAATGTAAATTATATTCCGGCCGGGTAATTTGTATGAATTTTATGAGCTAAACCAAATATCCTCAGTAAATAAACAAAGAAATATTCTTCAAGGACATTATCTGTCAATTAAAATACCCCACCTCCGCCCTCCCTCCCTTCCTACCCCCCACCCGCCCTCTCTACCAGAGAAGCGATTGGGAGAAAATAGTATATTTACATTTTTAGTAATAAATAATAACCCAGACTAAAGTTAGGATAATATAATTGACATTTCTAGATTCCTTGCAGGTCAGGGAATATTTTGAATGTAAAGGTCATATATTTTGCACAAAAGATAAAATATTTGCTTTGTGTAAACCAAATTATTACATTTGATCTAAAATTTGTATGTCTAATGCAAAATCCATGATGTTTATATTCAAAATGATCATCATATTGTAAGAATTCCAGCAATGTAAATTATATTCTGGCCGGGTAATTTGTATGAATTTTATGAGCTAAAACATATATCTTCATTAAATAAACAAAGAAATATTCTTCAAGGACACTATCTGTCAATCAAAATACTCGGCCCTAGCTGGGTCAGTCCCTCCCTCCCTCTCCCCCACCCCCCACCTTCCCTCCCTATCAGAGAAGCTTTGGGAGAAAATAGTAATTTACATTTTTAGTAATAAATAATAACTCAGGACTAAAGTTAAGATAATATAATTGACATTTCTGGATTCCTTGCAGGTCAGGGAATATTTTGAATGTAAACTTCATATATGTTGCACAAAAGATAAAATACTTGCTTTGTGTAAACCAAATTATTACATTAGATCTAAAATTTGTATGTCTAATGCAAAATCCATGATGTTTATATTCAAAATGATCATCATATTGTAAGAATTCCAGCAATGTAAATTATATTCTGGCCAGGTAATTTGTATGAATTTTATGAGCTAAATAAAAAAAAAATTATACTTCACGCGTATATGAGTACTGTAGATGCACCGCGGAAAGTGAAAGTCCGGTTCTGGCAAGGTACCGCGTAAATGAGAAATCGCGGAAAGTGAAACCGGAAAGTGAAACTGTGTAAAGCGGGGTAATACTGTATATATATATATATATATATATTACTTTGTTGTAAATACGAGTGAAAAGCTGCATTACACTGACACTAGGACAAGCATCTGTACTCCCATCACAGTACTACTATACTTCAACTAAACACACAGTTTACATTTAGAATATTATATATTGTGTCCAATCCAGTGAAGCTGTTAATACCACGCAGTTTTTAGTTACTTAAGACTACAAATTGTTTAATTTTACTAATAGTATATTACTTAAAGAGTGTATATGTTACTTGTGTAGTAAGTGTTGCTCTGGTGATAATATAACTTAGAATACTACTTAAATTGTTTGAGAATTAAAGAACTAAATACTCCCAGAAGAAGCACCGAATATTTACTACCATCATACTGCAACACCTGATAGGGGCTTGGGGTGGCGGCACTCTTCACAGCCACTACAGGGTCGTAGTGTACGTCGCCGGTGTTGCCAACCTGTTGAGGTAATCTTTCAATTGCATACAACATTGAAACTAAGACTTTAAAGACTTTTAATATCCTAAACAGAGACATACGCATAACGCTTTAATACGGCATGACAGCCGTGGGCACTTGACTATCGAATACTGACAAGCTGACCGTTATGTAATATACTAGATGACAATTCAACATGTAATAAGCATTAAAGATCAGAAAAAAATAAAAAATAAAATAAATAAAACCAAATACACATATTCCAGTCACTATTAGTCAACGTGACTAATTAAGTACAGTATATGGGAAATAATTTATACAGTAAGTTTAGCCAATACTTACATGGATTTTGACAGTTTTGAAATATGTTTCTCTCACATCCGCAGATGCTGTGAGGAGTATGGAAGAGACGAGGTAGGTCTTTTCCAAGTCCACCCTTACCCATTCGCTTCCCTGGTTGGTGGTGCACGGGCAATATGTGAAGCTCTGCCAGCTGGTGGCATCATTGGTCTGTGCGTGTGTGAGACGAGAGAAAAAGAGAGAGAGAGTTAGTCTACATAATATGGCATGTGTACATTGCAAAATAGAGATAGAGCAACAATCAACAGTTCTACAAAAACTTTAAAAAGTCTGTTGTCAATAGTAAACATTTTAAAACAAAAGTTGTCAGAAGACGACGAAGATCGCCTGCAGGTGTACATTATGTGGACACAAAACTTAGTGGGCCATAAATTCTCTTTACACTTTGTTCAGGAAAGTTAACAATGAAAGCTGGCACGTTAGCATGAAATTATTCTTTGATATTTGTATATATCTGTTATCATTAGTTATATTTCTGAGGAATGTGTCTGTCCTGGAGTGGATTTACCTTGTATAAACAGACTGAGAAAGGAAAGTGAGAATATAGCCACAGGATTCTTGGTGTTGGATCAAGGAGAATTAAGAAGGTACTGTAATACAATACACTAACAAAACTGTTCCTGATGTTTCCGGGAAAATGAAAAGCATCCCCCACCTCTTTCTTTCTTTCTTGTCTCTATGCTCGTTTCTCTTTATTATATTTTTACCTTTTCCTTTTTTACATATTTCTTTCATCCTCTTATTTCACTCTCCACCACTTTTTTCTCTTTCTCACTCACGATTTCACTGAAGATGCCGATGTGGTCGGTGACCATAGAAGAGTAATCGACGTGTTTGTAGAGAGCCAAATCTTTAGGCAGCCTGGAGTAGCCTACTGTCCCTCGTCCACTCACGGCACACGCCACATTAGGCGTCAGCTTTAGTGTATAGAGTTTACACTGGCCATCTGAATAAGAGACATGGTAATTAAATCAAGGATGAACAAGATATCCATGGACAATAACATTAGAAACAGGCCTACAGTATGCCTAGGATACTCTAGGTAACAACTTAGACACATTACAAGTGCTGCTGTATCTAGAATGAACGAGATACTTTATCCCTTAAAAATATAAACACTAGATTTTTATATTTGAGATGAACTAATCACTAACTCAACAAAATGATACATAAAGCTAAGACCAGGAACAACTAGAAATATGTTGTAAGTGATGGGATACTAACACTTTACAACACTGGAAATATGAATCCCTAGCAGTATTAATATTATCATAAACTCTGTCATCTCCACAACACTTCCCTGGCCAGTAGAAGCCTCATCTCACAGGGAAATGAGAGTCATGACACAGATGCTTCTATAAGTTTATCCTGAAGAATGTTATTTAAGTCAAAGTATTAATGGTGAGATGTTAAAGGGAAGGAGTTAGTGGACAGGTGTCAAGGATGGCGTTGTTATTGGACAGGTGTTAAAGGGAAGAAGTTAGTGGTCAGGTGGCAAGAGGTACGTGTTATTGGTCAGGTGTCAAGGGGAGGTGTTAGTGGTCAGGTGTCAAGGGGAGGTGTTAGTGGTCAGGTGTCAAGAGGTACGTGTTATTGGTCAGGTGTCAAGGGGAAGGTGTTAGTAATCAGGTGTCAAGAGGTAGGTGTTAGTGGGCAGGTGTTAAAGGGAAGAAGTTAGTGGTCAGGTGGCAAGAGGTACGTGTTATTGGTCAGGTGTCAAGGGGAAGGTGTTAGTAATCAGGTGTCAAGAAGTAGGTGTTAGTGGTCAGGTGTCAAGAGGTAGGTGTTAGTGGTCAGGTGTCAAAAGGTAGGTGTTAGTGGTCCGATGTCAAAAGGCAGGAGGTCATGGTCGAACAAGTACACAGACCGGTGAAGGTGCAGAGAGTGCAGGAGGGGTCTTGAGCACAGCGGAAGGGACAGTAGATCTCTCTGGCATGGGTGAACTCCTTCGTCAGGTAGAGGGTGTTCGTGGTGGCACACGGAGCATCACCCCCGTCCACATAAACCTGCAGGAGGAACACACACACACTTAGTCAAACGTAGTCAGTGGCAAGTGAAAGAGGAAGGGGAAGAAGATCCAAACTCCCAAAGACTTTAGCATTATTGGTTTGCCCTATATGTTGGTGAGAAAGCGCAAGAGAGTCTCACTGTAAAGCTAATGACAACCTTTTCTCGTAACCCTAAAACTAAACGGGAGGGGGGACCCACCCCACCAGCTCTTCACCTCACCCGCTGCCTCTGTATGTCACCTGGCCCCAGTGACTATTATAACCTCTACTGAAGTTACGCCGGTGAACTATAGTAGAGGATGGATGAAAAAGAATTTGCTGAATATTAACAATCACACACTGAAGAATATATAATACCTCCTTTACATATTATAAAGTAATCACACTTGATCACATTGCCAAGAGACTGACTTTCCCAACATCGAGAAAGGACAGTGTACCCACAAGCATAGGGCGCCATCTGTTAGTAAACAAAGAGACCAATTTTGGTGGTAGACTCGAACCTGCAAGCTTCACTGTCACTAACGGGGAACTTTAGCCAAATTTCATTTCTTCATCATGGGTTTCTTTAACTGTATCTTGGTGAAGATGTAGGTGTAGGTGAGGGGTGATGCCTGCGTTTACCACTAAGCGTTGCCAATCCTCTTTCTCCCTGAGGTGTGAACCCTGAACTCGGGTGTGTAAATTCGAAGCATTCAAGCATTCACAGTGAGCGGGAGGGAGAGGGGAGGGCTGTGTCTGGGAGGTGTCTCTCTGTGGGGGGAAGACTGAAACCTCATAAACAAGTTGCTCTCTTTACCAACAGATGGCGCACTTCTCTGAGGAGTGTTTGGTGTATGTGCATGCGTGTGGGGCATTTTGGATAGTGTACATTACCTTGGTGAAGAAGGCGGTGTTGCCGAGGGAGAAGGAAGGGGTCGTGAGAAGTCCTAGTAGCAGCCATGAAACAAAGCTCCCCATCCTCCCATCAGCAGCTGCTCCAGACCTGATGCTGTACACACACACACACATCTGGCTGATACACGGGTTCTAAAATCCTCCCCGACTAAAAAAATCATAATACCACTGGCAGACATTTGCGAGTATTTCCTTCATTATAAATTTTGCGGTCTGTCACTGATCTAATTACAAGTCATAATATGATTAGTAACAAATCTACGTAAACATGAAGTGAAATATAATTAATTGAAAAACAGAGTTGTATCCGCATTTACAAAAAGAATATTGATAATTTAGAAATGCTGATTATTTATTACTGTGTTAATTACTGAATACTTATAGACTGTAGCGAAGAGCAGCTGGAATGTCATAATAAATAAATGATATATATATATATATATATATATATATATATATATATATATATATATATATATATATATATATATATATATATATATATATATATATATATATATATATATATATATATATTTATTTATTTATTTATATATATATATATATATATATATATATATATATATATATATATATATATATATATATATATATATGCTGATAACCACAATGAAAGAAGATGGATACCCAGTCATGTCTGTATCTTGGGGAATGAGGCAGCAGATGGCCTTGCCAAGACTGGCTGCAACAAGGCCACACCTGACTACGTTGTTCCTCGAACACTTTTACAGCTTAGAACCCAAATTCACCGCAAACAGAGAGAAGCTCGAGAAGCAGCCATCCCCTTGGACTCCCCGCCCACCTGGTACGATGTCCTCCGTAAGCTTCCTGACCTCTCGTATGTCTATGGGAAAGGGTCGCAGGGTCGCGGAAAGGGGACGTGATTGCTGCCCGTATTATCATTGGGTATGACTTTGCTTGGGAGATTGGTATCCCCGCATCCCCTGAGCAACACTCTTGTGCATTATGCAGAAGACCCAACAGCCGCACCCTTATCCACTACCTCCTAAGATGTCCCCACACACAACGCTTCCGTGACGCCTGCTGGACCACCACTCCACGACCCCCTGACGGAGACACGATGATCCTCTCCATACTGGCCAGATACTATGTAAATAACATTGATTATGTGTTGAAGGAATATCCTTCCTTCCTTAGGCTTTAGTAAGCCCCTTTATAATATTTATACTGTATATACTTGTCACACTTGCCAGATGCTTCTGGTGTCATTGTACAGGGGTACCTAGTGGCAGCACTAGGATCCCGCTTCCTCTATCAAGGAATAAACAATTGAAATTGGAAAAAAAATTGAAAGAAGAAAACACGAAGTTCCCAAGCGCTTTCGTGTAATTCACATCTACCTTGTGGTTATCAGCATATACCTGGATCACACGCACCCACAGTGATTTACTTGCATGTATATATATATATATATATATATATATATATATATATATATATATATATATATATATATATATATATATATATATATATATATATATATATATATATATATATATATATATATATATAAAATGTATTGTGGAAAAAATATATCAATGTAAACTCGATATTGCAACTGCTTTCATTAATGCCTTCGGGTACTGACACAGGACACAGAAAGATCTCGATATAATTGAACCACATTATCAACGTAATTTTTTAACAACAATTTATTGATGTAAATCAACACTTTGCAAACTCACCCCACAGTCAGTCCCTCACCTTCACAGTGGCAGGGTACTGGATTCAATTCATAAATGTGGTCGAGGACAAGGGTCGTTCTTCTTTAGTACTCGAGCCGACTGGTCTATAACTGTAAAATAAAATATTTTTACCCATAGTTGGCATAAAAAAGTTCATAAAAATACATAAAACTATCACATAAGGTACTGTTAAACACAGTATTACATGTATCAGTGACAGAAGACGCCCGCTGAGCCCACTGTGTTGTCACTAATACTTGAAGCAGGTGACGTGGATGGATTTGGTGCAGGTAGGAGGAAATGGTATGGGGGAGGAATACATAAGAACATAAAAATGGAGGAAACTGCAGCGGGCCTATTGGCACATACTGGGCAGTCCCGTTTACACCCAACCCCTACCGCTCATATATCCATCTAACCAATGTTTGAAGCTATCCAGCGTATTCGAGTTAATGCTGATGTTTGGTAACTTGTTCCACTCATCCACTACTATTTCCAAATCAATGTTCACTTATCTCGTTCCTAATTCTAAATTTTTCTAATTTAAACCATTGCTACGAGTTCGCTCCTGGTTGGATAGCTTGAATACCTTTGTTCTGTCACCTTGTTTATCCCTGACTAACATTTATCCACCTCGATGATATCGCCCCTCACTCTACTGTACGTCTCTCGAGGGAGAGCAAATTAAGATGCTTTAACCTGTCTCTGTACTCAAGGTTCCTAATGCCCGGGATTAGTCTTTTCATTCTCCTCTGAATTCTTTCTAGGGATTCTTGATCCATTCTGTAGTACGGTGACCAGGACTGAACTGCGTAATCCAAGCAGTCTCACAAGCACAAGATATAGTTTAAGGATAACCTCGCTAGTCTTGAACTAACACTCCTTTGTATTTCCCCTTGTTTCGAGCAAATACACATTGTTTACTTGGTTTAAGATTCCTACTTATCATTACTCCTAAACCTTTCTCACAGTAGGATTTTTTGTAACGTTTGTTCATCTGATATCTGGGTTCTCTGTTTACATCTCCTAGACTAAGTACTTTACATTTGTCTACATTAAATTTCATATGCCAGCTTTCAGACCATACGAAAAATTTGTTTTGCAGAGTCCTCGTCAGATGTAATTGCAAGCCCTATTTTAGTGTCATCAGCAAATTTACTTATGTTGCTGTCTACGCCTATATCTATGTCGTTTATGTATATAATAAATAATAATTTCCCAAGTACTTAGCCCTGGAATATTCCACTAGTGACGTTATCCCAATTGGATTTAGTGCCTTTAATGCTTACTCGCTGTTTCCTGTCCTGTAATCACGCCCTAATCCATTTTAGAATATCTCTCCCAATGCCATGAGCCCCCACTTTTCGTATTAGGCTTTCCTGGGGGACTCTGTCGAAGGCTTCCAGCAATTTGCCTACAATTGATGTTAAACTGATTGGACGGTAGTTAGAGGAGTGATCTATCTCCCTTCTTGAAAATCGGTATCACATTCGCTATCCAGGATTCTAGTACGACACCCGTTTTTAATGACGTTAAACATATTTACTAAGGGCATACTAAGCTCTTCCTTACAGTCCTTTAACACTCTGCTTACATTCCTTTAATACTCTGGCAAATATCTCATCGGGACCTGGTGACTTATTATGCTTTAGCCTGTCTATTTGCTTTCTAACATCGTTCCTAGTCACTATCTCGCTTAATCTATTTTCTTCTTCACTATCTTCTTCACTGTTGAAAAATATCTGTTCAGATTATTGCTCATTTCTCCGCCGTTATCAGTTAGCTCGCCGGTATCTGACTGTATTGGTCCAATCTTGTCTGAGTTTTAGTTTGATACATTTGAAAGAATCCCTTGGGGTTTGACTTCGCCTCCCTTGCCTCGAATGAGTTGGGGGTGATGTAGTGAGGATATGGTGACGAGTGAGGTGGGCGTGTTGTTGAGAGGAGAGGGTGAAGAATGAGGTGGGGGTGATTTAATGAGGAGAGGGTGACGAGTGAGGTGAGCATGAAGACAACACAAGCGACTGGAGTGTGTAAAAAAGCAAATCAACACGAAATGATTTGATATGTGCTCTGCGTACACTAAATCAATACTCACACAAAAAAGGCTTTCAATAAATACTGTATTGACATCACGAGAAATGCGAAAACAATATTACTTGATATATACGGTGTGAATGAAGAATTTGTCAAAATGTAAAAACAACATTTGCTATAATTATAATAAAGTGTCAAACGGGGGGATTAAAACACGAATAACTCAGGTAAACACAATTACTTCCATTAAGGTTCTTTGTTAAATTCAATACAGTTGGCGAGAGAACAGTGGTGCAGAGGTCTTAAAATAGTAATAAAAAAAATACAAAGACAGAGTGTGAAGCAGAACACTAAGTGAGGTAAATACTGTCGTGACGAGGCTTCAAGAAGCTAATGGAGACGAAATATTTATGGTCATCAATAATTATGTGCAACGAGACGGGTCACGAATGTTTAGCCAGAGAAAATTATTGGTAGGTCATGAAGGTGGAATGTGTTTCTGGCTGTGCGCTTTGTTATTCTGTCCCACATTATACCTGTACTGTATTCCTGATTTTCCTTCGAAGTCGACCGTGACAGCCTACACCAGGTTACAATGATAACACAACAGTGAATGAACAAGTCTATCTTTTCATGGTCTCAGTAATGTTTAACAATGAAGTGAGAGAACACTTGGACACATTAATAACGACAGACACACATAAACAATGAAAATAAAGCAGCAGTGATCAAAAAAAAAAATATTATCGCTTAATTTACCGATAAAACAAAAGACTCTCCCTTACAGAACCTTAAATCCGGTTGTCATTCATCACGGGGGCGATAGTGTGGGCCAGTAGCTGAGGGACAAATGGTAAGCCACTTAAAATAACCTCTATGCTAATATACAATTTGCCTGACATCAAATACCCAAAGAGGGTCTTCAACCTGATCCTGAAAAAATAAAGGTAATTAAGAATTTCCCAACTCCAGAATCCAAAACAAACCTCAGGTCATTCCTAGGTCTGGAACAAATGAGTAAAAATTTTATGAATCTAATAAATGATATATAAAGACAGATGCATCCTTAATTACCTGATTAAATAACATGATAGGTTTCTAAATGTATTATGTAAATGCATTACAAAAATTTGTATTTTTGTTGGGATGTAATACGGAGTGAACTGATGAAACAGTTGCTAAGTTTCTAAGAACACTGCAGATAAATGTTGTATAAAATTTGTTTTATTGGTCACATTTCCCCTTACATACTGTATTTGTGAAATTCATAGCTGTGGCATGAATATCTGTCGTGGTGAGGAGCGCAAGTGTATGAAGCTAGAACTAGTGATGTCACAGTGTGGGATTCCTTCGTCGTTTCCATGCGGTTGCGTTTTCAATCGCTACATTGACCGATTGAAATGTACTGCAAACGCATAACGCTAACGTTACCGCTAACCCAATCGTGCCAATGGAAACAACCGTGTACATTTCAATATGATCTATTTTTTGGCGCTAACGCTACCGCCTGAATGGAATCCTAGCTTTATTTTTGAACGCGGCGTGAAATGAAAAATTGTTACCAAACTTACGGTTGATTTTCGGGTGTAAATTATGTATGGTGGCATAAGACGAGTGTAATCTTTTAAAAAATATATGTAATTTTTATAGCATACAGCGAAGACGTGTAAATACCGTAAACCATAAATACAGAAATACTTGGCAACATAATTATGACAAACTTAAACTAAATCTATTGTACGTACCCAAGTCATTAAAAAAATGTTAACGCCTTCGTTCATGTCCTGAAGCGTCATGTATGATTTTATGCCTGCAACTTAAGGTTTTTAAGTTTACACTTATTTTGGATGAGGTTCATCACTTCTGTACCCATATATCAACTCTTTAAGCGCATTGGTAAGTGTTCGATCGTTCTTTACTTCCCTTCCGCCATTTTATGCTTCACAACTTCACTTCTACCTAACAGAAGGAAAATTGTTGCAGTCGTCGATATTCCAGTGTCCCGATATGTATGGTGGGAAGATTTTTTTTCATTGAGAATATAAGTTACAGCTACAGTGGCAAACAGTATTTGCCACTGTAGCTCAGGTGTGTCTGCGAGATACATCATACCCTGCTGTTAATAATGACGGCACCGAGTGTGAGCTCTTTCAAGAGAAGACTTGACCAATACTGGAGCGGGTTCTGGTACATTCAGGAGCCGGTGCATGCCCAGTACTTGCCAACAGTGCGTGACAGAGACGTGACCGATCGCCCAAGCGGCTAACAAGCCGATCAGTGGCGAAGAGGATAAAAGTAAAAAAAGTAAAAGTAATAATGTTATTACTCCGCTTCAACAACGAAGGTCTTGAAGCGCACAGCATGATGAATAAATACACTAGTCTAGTCCACAACGATATAAATTATGAGAGACTGAACTGTGTCCACTGTACACCATTACGTAAAGAACGCTTCGCGCCCTCCACCGAAATTAAACAAACCGTCTCAATTTAGCGTGAATTATGTAATTGAATATCCATTCTTCTAAGAAAAACTGTAGTATATATATATATATATATATATATATATATATATATATATATATATATATATATATATATATATATATATATATATATATATATATATATATATATATATATATATATATATATACATATATTTACCTGTATATACAATATTTGGCTATTACCTTTCTGCTGCTCACAAAGCAATATCCGTAGCACCGACGACGAGTCAACAATGCCTGGAACTACCGGACTGGCATGAGTCGCATGACGGTGACGCCAACTCCAACTCGTTGACTTTAGGTTGCCGAATCATGCGATTCCCCCCACAATACGTGAGAACTTTTTGTCGTAGTTGTTGGCTGGAATTATTTACGTAGCCTTACTAAGCCTACTTCCGTAACACACTATCTTCAATAATCTTGTGATCTTGAGGAATTGGTGTGTTCGTGTTCGTAATTATCACACCTCTACGGAATGGTATGTGGCACTGCCGTACAGTTTTATTAAACGCGGCCATAAATATTTTAGAAATTAGAACAGTAGATTTCCAAAATACAATATTTCTTTAAGTATACAATGAAAAGTTGTTTTTAGCAGTAACTAAGGTATAACGGCATACGCATTTTTTCTTAAGTTTATTTATATATACTTTATATAAGAAACCCATGCTTCTAGTGAGTGGACACTGTTATAGAAGAGTGGGAAGAAGAAAGAAAAAGAAAGACATAATAATGAAACAAGACCAAGAAGAGGAGCAGAACCAGAGGAGGAAGTACTAAGACAAGATAGTAATAGGAAGATCGTCCGTAGTGTAGGCACCTTACTTTTATTTTTTACGGGATTAGCC